AGTTCCATGATAGATCAGATATTTGATGCAAAAGATTCTGCTGCCAGCATCTTAGGGGTCTGATCACTGCAGAATCTCAAGGAAACAAATTAACAAAGAGTTGCTGTTCTTGTTCAATTCTAAGAGCACAAATGAAAAGGATACCAGTAGTCTGATACATCGGGTTACTAATATTTTAAAATCGTCCTTATGGAATCCATCGTCTTTTGATAGATAAATCATATATTTTCAATTGCCGTCCATTTGTTTAAAAAAAAGGATCTGAAAATAACAATTGTTTTTATTTCTTTAGTTTGCAACCAGTTTTTTTTCTCAAATTTTATTTTGATTTTAACAGTTTTGATTTTTGTAGAGCTGTTCCTTCTAAGCTTAGGGGGTGAATATTATTGTAGAATCCTCAGTTGATAGGCTTTATGCATGTGCCAACAGGGCAGTGCCTTTCCAGGTCCATTGAACAGGGCAGTGCCTTTCCAGGTCCATTGAAATGTGTTTGGTGAAATTATTTGAACACCTGTACCTTTTTTTTGTAAACATGGCTTTTGTCGTTTCAATTCAACTTTGTGTTCAACATGCTGTGCTGCTTCTGTTCAATTATTTATTCTATAGTATTACATATTTAATAAAGTATGCAAATTTTTAAAAATATCGTCTTGTACAGTTGTAACTCAGCAATAAAGCGGCTGCCAATAAAAAGCTTTATTCATATTGTTGGGAAGTTCCGTAATTGTAAATTTTCATTAAAAACTTGTCACCCTCATTCTTTATTCTACCATTTTCTGTGCTAACTACTTAATCGTTAGAGGAACAATATATGTTTAGGCTTGAAATGAAATACAGGATAGGCCTATGTATACATGTCTTTCTTTTCAAGACTAAACATATGTTCCACTATTTATTTACTTTAGATTAATGGTAATGAGAGAAAAACAATTTGTACCGTTATGCAATATGTTATAAGCTTTAATTATGATTGCACAGTATAACAATTCAAACTTTTCTACAAATGCCTTCTTCGTTTAATTATAAATTAAATTTACATAATATATGTATAATTAAATTTACATAATATATGTATATCCTACCCATGCCTAAAAATGAAAGGAAAGAAATGAATGAAAATGGGCACAAGTTTGTAACGAAAACAAACATCATAAAAACACAAAGATCATAAAAACAGAAAGAAAGTAGGTGGAAGTACACTATAAGACCGAATCTTTCATTACAGTTCATCTGTTTTTACAAGGTTATACAAAATGAAGGGGAAAATAGTATGTTACAAATCAGTTTTTATTTCCTTTGATCAATATTGAAATAATTTTATTGAATTATGCTTGCTGTTGATTTGAACCGTCCAACTCATTTGATTTGTGTGCAGATATGCACAGTAGTAATGTGACTTAATAATTAATATGACTACTTTATTTCATAGTATTAATAATGAATTTGTTGAGTGTAGCACTCATATATTTGTAAACCCTAGAGAGAAAATGTTGATATGTGTTGTGTAGAACTCTTCAGTTAACCCATTTTTTAGATGGTAGTTTTTTTACCATCTTTTATACCTCTCTGTGTTGATCTAAATAATTGTTGGAGTCCTGAAAGGCTTCTCCAACTCTTCCACAGAGAAATCATTTTCTGCACAACTTTAAGTGTTCCAACAAACTGTACACCAGATTATTTTATAAATTTCTGATGTTATTTTAGCTGAATATAGCACAAAATGATAATAGAGCTTTGAGTTTTAATTTGCAGAATATCTGGGGGAAAAAGTTATTTATCTTAAGTAGTTAATTTTAATTTTTAAAATTCTGCTTCATAATATTTATAATATATATATACACATATATATATATATATATTAAAAAGACAACAGGATTGCCCTGGCTTAACTACCACCAATAAAAAATAAAGCAGGTATTTAAACCTACTGTATATTTCTTGTACATGTGGATGTGTGATATTTATATATCAACTTTATTCATTTGCTTCTGCTTGTATCTTGAAAACTCAAGCTAATTAGATTTTTTTAAAAATTTTTTGCATAATAAATATATTTATTAAAGGTATATTTTAAAAATCTTGTATAAATTTACTTGAGTGAAATGCTGAACATTTTGAGAGTAAAAGTAAAGTAGGCTTGTGACCAGGTCTGCTATTCAGGACAATTGAGTGTGAGAGATGGAAAGAATAAATGTTTTCTTAATAGTTGACCCAGTGCATGAACATAGTTGACAGAGTGCATGAACAGTATATCGCTCCATTCTGATTAACTTGTTTTATGCTGCCAAATTGTGACCTCATTATTACACCTGACCAGCTTCCATGGAGACTTACATTGTTTGGAGCCTTTTAATCAGTATGTCACTACATAATTATATATAGCCTACCTAATGATTCTTTCATAGAGGAGCTCTCAAATACTACAGCAAAGAATACATTCCTGATTTATTTATACATATGAATGCAATTTCTGAATCAAATTTTTTTTAAAATGTTAATTCCTGATGCAGAAGAATCACAAACCATTTGTTTAACAAACTGAATGGTTCTTACATAATGAACATGCTTTAAATACAGGGCCTGTCATGTATAAACAAATAAGTATTTTCAATGAATATTTTATTTACTGTACTGCTAGATATCCCAATTTATTTATACATTTTAAAGAAATTATTGCATGTATATATAGCATATTAAAAAAACAAACTATTTTATAAATAGCATAATGATTTAATATTTGTACATATTGAAAATTGTAATTTTTTTATATTCTATTTTTAGAAATTTTGACTCCCGCTGTGTGCCTTAGTAGCATAACTACATATCAAGCTTACATATTATAATATACGTTTACCACTTTCCTCTTTTGTCTGCAGTCGCAAGAGTTGATTTTTTGCTTGACATCAATGGCACAAATGATTATTTCCACACATTTTGACTTCTCTATTTGGAATCTATTGGTATTTATTTTAACTAACAACTTACAATGTCAGTACAATGTCACTGGACTGAAAGCATAACTTGATGCATTCCAAATATAATTGTCAGCATTTTTGTTGTCTAGTATGTCATTCCTCTTCCACATTCCTATTGCTACATTAAACCTATCAATCTCCAGAGAACCTAAAACATGACCAATCCCACCTAATACCGTTCCTGCTTGGATGGATGGTAGTTACAATTCACAGCTTAGGTGTGTGGAGGGTAGTTACAACTCACAGCTTAAGTGTGTGGGTGGTAGTTACAACTCACAGCTTAGGTGTGTGGGTGGTAGTTACAATTCACAGAGTATGTGTGTGGATAATAGTTATGATTCACAGCTTAGATGTGTGGATGGTAGTTACAATTCACAGCTTTAGGTGTGTGGATGGTAGTTACGATTCACAGCTTTAGGTGTGTATCCACCAGAAATACGCCACTGATTTTTTTTTTCAACCGTGACCTACAGCTATTTAATGCCATTTTAAAGTCTTTTGGTGTGGAACAGAAAACATTAAATCAATTTACATTTGAAACTTACCAAATAATCAGAGAAATTTTTGGTTGATTATATTGGATTAAGTCGTAGGGAGTGCTTTAGCTTACACCTTTCCAACAGTAAAAAAAACTTCACAAATTCTTACACTGAGGGTCAATAGTCATCCCCTCAAACTTTTGAAACATCAACCTTGTACTATCCAAAGATGTATGCTCATTGAATAGACTAGCCTCAGAAGAGCTCACTGTTGCGGTCCACATTTACAATCTGGTTAATCAAACTATCCTTTGGAAGTCATTCTCCAGAGTGGGCTTAATTCTCATTTACTCAGTGGACATCTCGCTTATCCAAAAACCAGTGATGTATCTTTCTGGGATACAAATTGTGGATCAGCCTTCAAAACCCTTTATCCAATCAAAAGACATATTTAATTTCAAGGCTTAATTATTTCTTCTGACCAGCCATTGGCCAACAAATGTCACCATATTTATGCTTTAACATTCTGATGAGGGTAGTTATTTTTTTTTAGCTCTGATCTAATTATAGCTTGTGCTATTGGAATTTACTCTAATCTAAATATAGTTTAACTTAAACTATAAGCATTTGGGAATTCTCTCTAATCTATATATAGGTTGAGCTGTTGGGAAATACAATTGTTTGAATCAGAGAAAACTAAAATGCTTCACACTGGTGGGAAAATATGAAATAAAATAATTGTTTTAAAGGTTCATTCTTATCCTGTAGAAATATTTGTGCATTCCAATCAAACTAATATATTTTTAGAACATTTAAAAAGAGCAAATCTAATAAGTAAAAAGTAACACCCACCAACAGCATCATTTAAAACACACACACACTACTCTTAATACACACTGCTGTGTTTTCTTGGGTTTTATTTACAAAAATAGAAATCATGAAATAAAGTGTTCATGTTATAACAGGTGCTTAAATGTTTATATAGGATCCGTCCATCACTCACGCATCTGTCACCAGTTTCTCATCAAACAACCCATCTGTATTGATAAGAGAAGCAGCCATACTACACATACTACTTAAATATTCAGATTTATTCAACCCCAGGGTGATATTAAAAGGCTTAAAAAAAACTATTGCCTCAATGACCCTGACCCTGGTATTTAATCTAAACCAATGAGGAAAGGTGTTGTTATGGCTGTGGGTTACCACCATCTAGGAGTTATGTAGCTGGTACTGAAACCCCTGCACATCTAACATGTAGCTGGTACTGAAACCACTGTACATCTAACATGTAGCTGGTGCTTAAACCACTGTACTTCTAACATGTAGCTGGTACTGAAACCACTGTACATCTAACATGTAGCTGGTACTGAAACCACTGTACATCTAACATGTAGCTGGTACTGAAACAACTGTACATCTAACATGTAGCTGGTACTGAAACCACTACATCTAACATGTAGCTGGTACTGAAACCACTGTACATCTTAACATGTAGCTGGTACTGAAACCACTGTACATCTAACATTTGGACAGATTTAAAATAAGCAGGGTGGCTCTTATCTTTTGATATAAATTATAAACTTTGTTGATGGAAGTGTTTCTAGGGTATCATTGTGCTTTGGTCTGTTTGATTTAAAGGTTGTCCTATATTTTGTTCCTTCATGCATGACAGTCCTGAGAATATCCCACTTGACAGTATTCTTTATGACAGTCGTGAGTATATCCCACTTGACAGTATTCTTAATGACAGTCGTGAGTATATCCCACTTGACAGTATTCTTAATGACAGTGGTGAGTATATCCCACTTGACAGTATTCTTAATGACAGTCATGAGAATATCCCACTTGACAGTATTCTCAATGACAGTGGTGAGTATATCCCACTTGACGGTATTCTTAACAATCTGTTTCCTTATAAGTTTAAGCTTAAATTAGAGAAATTGACTGGGTTGGTTTGTTGTTTTTCCTTCCCTTTTTTAAAATGTTTGTGCAAATTCTTTTTCAAAAATTAATTTTGGTTTTCAGATTTTTAGAAAAACAAAAACAATTTTGATTTTACATAAATTTATTTAACAATCAAATGCCCTAAAAAAAATTATTGAAATTAAGTTATTGTCATTTACAAAAATATGATCTAATGAAGAGGTATTTACTGTTTTTTGTTACAAAAAATGATTTAAAATGATTTAATGCCCTGTACACACCTACTTTGAAACCTAATCTGCTGATAAAACTGACTCTCATCCTTCCAATCACAAATTCAGTTTCCTATATACAACCCCACTTTTTGGCTCTTACTATCTCCACTTTTTTAATGCTTCATTTTTTTCAATTACTTTTTTTTTGTTTCTTCCATTAAGTTTATCTGTGCTTCCAAAAATATATATATTTATTACTTTTATTTTAAAATTGTACTCTGAAATTTGAATAAAGAAATGATTGATTAATTAATTTCATGCATGTCTTTATCTATCTAACCTGTGTACATGTCTTTGTCTATCCTGTACATGTATTGCTGTTGTACAAATGAAGTTCTCAACAAAAAAATGTCCCAGAAAAATTGTTTCAATTTTTTTGGCAATAGAGTAAAACCAAAGTTTGAGATAATAGGTCAAACTTGTCTATGTAGTCATGACAATGCTAAAGGTCAATGTTCTAGTTCTAGGGGTTTATGAGTATCTTAAGAGGCGCCTTCCTTAGTTACCCGTTTTCCAAAGGAATTGCTGTATGGAGAGTTGGCAGAAGGGGTGAGAATTTTTGGATGGCCGTAGATGAGATTTAAAGACATTTGTAAACAGGAGCATGATGGAAGTCCACATAGAAATCAACGAATGGGAGATCACCCCAGAGCACCACCGTGCCAAATGGCAAACAGCAGTGTATGAAGGAGTAATACAGACAGAAGATGCGTGAAACGAAGCCCTTACAACAATAAGAGCAAATGTAATCAGGAGTCAAGGTTCTCCTGCGAAAGACACACACCTTGGACTGCCATTCATGGATAGACATTGTAAGCCATTTGATGCAGTGTCAACAGCTACTCCATCGTCATCATATCTAAATTATCACAACTCTGTATATATGAATAAAGAAAACTAATACAATATATATATATATATCTTAACTGTCTATAGCATAATGTATAATATACATATATAATATCTTAACTGTCTATAACATAATATATAATATACATATATAATATCTTAACTGTCAATAACATAATATATTATATCTTATTACTGAGTATAAAGTGTAAATCGGGAAAACTTCAGTATGTCCATCAAAGAATCAATGAAACAATGCCATTTTCATTCAACCCACACCACACTTCACTCAACCCACACCACACTTCACTCAACCCACACCACACTTCACTCAACCCACACCACACTTCACTCAACCCACACCACACTTCCTACAGTTATTAGCAGTCTTAGCAACCTCCCCACTCCTGTAATAAGGCTGAGATAATGCATAAGAGGACCAACCGCAGGTTTTGTGCTAGTTTAAGCAAACGGATCCTTGATCAACAAGGACAAGACTTGTAAGAGCTGTTATTAAGTTATGGTACTATTCATGTAGGTTTGCAAAATAACACAAAATGAACATAGTCCACACATAGTCCATGTCTTGGCCCTCCATCATGGCTTGTCAATCCGTTTTGACTTGACAATATGGGATGGCTTAAAATCTGTGATGCCTTGGCAATATATGGTTTAAATAGAACGTTTGCAATTTATCTAAATGCTTATCAAAACATTGCTTCTACATGATTAAAATATATGAAGGAAAACATTAACGAAGATGAACTACAAAAGATTTTCATGAAAAGGAAATCACAGTTGGCGATCCAAATCTGATTAAATGGAATCAAATCTGAAAATAAAAATACAAGGTTATTTTATACCTATTTTGTAAATATTTTTGTGTAATGGGTCAATTTAATTTATTTTTATTCTTATTAATAAAAATAAAAACAAAGATGGCTTTTCATGTTCAAATGGAGTTATGCTCTTTTGATCAAGGATATGTGAGGGTTTACATCGAATGCACAGTGGACCTCGGATAACAAACTAAGGTTCACCTTTTCTCCTCTGCTTTAGTGAAAGATTTAATCTCGTCCATGGACAATCCCCGACCCAACAAGTGAAGCACTCGGAGGTAGTTGATGGCCATGAACATCAAGAGTTTGTGTTTGAGATTCTCCTTGATGACCCGACAGTCATAGACACACCTGGTCCACCATGCCCAGAGCACACCTCTCACTGTGCTGGTTGTTGGGTCATCCAAGTGGGAACCTACAATGGCACTGTGGGTGGAGACACAATATAGAGAAAAAAGTGCTACTCTACAGTATTAATAGAAATGTGTGCTGCTCTACAGTACCTTTCTTTACCCAAAAACAGAAAAAAGGGCTCCTCTACAGTACCTCACTTTCCCTAATAATTGAAATGTGCTCTTCTACATTAACTTACTTTCCCCAATAATTGAAATGTGCTCCTCTACATTACGTCACTTTCCCCAATAATTGAAATGAGCTCCTTTACAGTACCTCACTTTCCCATATAATTGAATTGTGCTTCTCTACATTACCTCACTTTCCCCAATAATTGAAATGCACCCCTCTACAGTACCTCACTTTCCCCAATAATTGAAATGTGCTCCTCTACAGTACCTCCCTTAACAAGATAAGTAGTATTTTATTCTCTGTTGTTCTTGTTGGTGTTGCAGGCTTCCAGCTGAAAGGTCACCTGTTGTTTTTTGTTTTTTTTAAGGTTTATCCTACCAGTATTTTATAGTTCTAAATATTTCAACCTGAATGCAATCCTCCTCAAATTACACTCTACACCACAACACTTTACTCTAAATAGAAATAATAAAAATGAGAGCAAATTAAAATCTAGTGTTCTCCTACATGTACACAAAACACTTATATTAGAGTAAGTCAACTGTACAATGGTCTAACACCTGACATTGACATAAGTCAACTGTACAATGGTCTAATACCTGACATTGACATAAGTCAACTGTACAATGGTCTAAAACCTGGCATTGACATAAGTCAACTGTACAATGGTCTAACACCTGACATTGACGTAAGTCAACTGTACAATGGTCTAACACCTGACATTGACATAAGTCAACTGTACAATGGTCTAACACCTGACATTGACATAAGTCAACTGTACAATGGTCTAACACCTGACATTGACATAAGTCAACTGTACAATGGTCTAACGCCTGGCATTGACATAAGTCAACTGTACACTGGTCTAACACCTGGCATTGACAGATATGCAACCCACCTGGCATTGACAGATATGCAACCCACCTGGCATTGACAGATATGCAACCCACCTCGCATTGACAGATATGCAACCCACCTGGCATTGACAGATATGCAACCTGAGCATTTTGACAGCATGTACACACACACACACACACATAACAAGGAATCTATCTTTATAAGATCCTCTCAAATTTGATGATAACTTCACCTTTAAGAATATTAGGCTTCATTCCTATTGTTTCAATTCAATGGTTTACAGTTTTGATGGGCTGGGAGCTTCATGCCTCCATAGTAACAAGGACACCCAAGAAACACTCACCAGCCCAATTGTGGGACACCCAAGAGACACACACCAGCCCAATAATGGGACACCCAAGAAACACACACCTGCCAAATATGACACCAACAAAACCCACACCAGCCAAATATAAGGACGCCCAAGAAACACACACCAGCCAAATATAAGGACACCCAAGAAACACACACCAGCCAAATATAAGGACGCCCAAGAAACACACACCAGCCAAATACAAGGACACCCAAGAAACACACACCAGCAAATATAAGGACACCCAAGAAAGACACACCAGCAAATATTAGGACACCAAAGAAACACACACCTGCCAAATATAAGGACACCCAAGAAACACTCACCAGGCAAATATAAGGACACCCAAGAAACATACACCAGCCAAATACAAGGACACCCAAGAAACATACACCAGCTAAATTAACAGTTTGCAACTTCACAACAATAAGATTACCTCCTGGCCATGATACCATATCTGTCTACAGTGTTGCCATGGTCACGGAGAATGGCACGAATGGTGTTCAGGTTCCTTTTGGCAAAGATAAAAATAGAAAAAGAGTTGTAGATGTTTTTGAGAAGATGTTTTAAGATCTAAGTCATGTCAGGTTATTTACCAATTGGATTCCCAAAGTCCAGAAAATTGTCATGAACAAACAACAAAACACAGAGGCCAAGTCAGTGTTAGTGAAGACATTGCAATGAACAAAGAACAAGATACAGAGGCCAAGTAAATGTTAGTGAAGACATTGCCGTGAACAAACAACAAGATTCACTGGCCAAGTAAATGTTAGTGAAGATATTGCCATGAACAAACAACAAGATACAGAGGCCAAGTAAATGTTAGTGAAGACATTGCCTTTAACAAAATGACCAGCAACAACAAACTCAATAATCAAGTCATTTCAAAGATGGTGCTAGATGATTATAAAACTGTTTTCTAGGGTCTAGATGTTAAAACTCCATTTGAAAACAGAATCATTGCTGACGTAATAATTTGCTGATATTGTAAAAGTCTCCGTTTGCATGCAAATTATAATGATCATCACTAGGGAGTGTAATAAAACTTGCTTCGGTGTGGGCAACAAATTCCCAACAATTAACATAAAATTAACACATAAATCCCACCTGATGACCAACATATAAATCCCACCTGATGACCAACATATAAATCCCACCTAACGACTAACTTATAAATCCAAACCAGATGACCAACATATAAATCCAGATGACCAACATATAAATCCCACCTAACGACTAACTTATAAATCCAAACCAGATGACCAACATATAAATCCCACCTAACGACTAACTTATAAATCCAAACCAGATGACCAACATATAAATCCCACCTAACGACTAACTTATAAATCCAAACCAGATGACCAACATATAAATCCCACCTAATGACTAACTTATAAATCCAAACCAGATGACCAACATATAAATCCCACCTAACGACTAACTTATAAATCCAAACCAGACGACCAACATATAAATCCCACCTGATGACCCATACATAAATCCCACCTGATAACCAACATATAAATCCCACCTGATAGCCAACATATAAATCCCACCTAACGACTAACTTATAAATCCAAACCAGATGACTAACAAATAAATCCCACCTGATGACCAACAAAAGATTCCTGGGCATTGCCCTCAAGACCACCATTATCTTATCAAAGTGGTTTTGGGCCATCTTCTGCATGTAAGCTATGTCGGCACTGGTCATGGCGGAGGGGAGGAAAATGGTGTTACGTTTCACTGGACGCTGCACTAGAATCTCACAGAACATTTCATAGTCTGGAAATAGATGGGAGACTGGGACGATAGAAATCTGGAGTCGAATAGTTATCGTGTTCTTCAACTCTTCTATAAGCTGACAAGCTGACATAGTTATCATGTTCTTCAACTCTTCTACAGGCTGACAATAAGCTTTGGGCACACTGGGAAAACTATGAAATATTAATGTTTCTAAATAATGAGTCCTGTCACATAGATTGTTAAAGGCTGTTGCTAGGCATGTTAAGATAGCCAAGACTTATCATTTTGAGATGACCAAGAATTATCATGTGGAGATGGCCAAGACTTAACATGTGGAGATGGCCAAGACTTATCATGTTGAGATGGCCAAGACTTATCATGTTGGAATGGCCAAGACTTATCATGTTGGGATGGCCAAGACTTATCTGACCCGCTTTACTTTAGGGTGATACATTGTGGTTTCTCTGGAATTACTGATCTTCACTGAGAGATGAAGCCAATTACTGTTGCTGTTCTTTCTTAGTCTAAATGTTTTAGCATAAAAGCTTCTAAAACAATTCTCATTGGAAAATAGAACAAATCTTAAGTGCCATTAAGTGACAACTCTTAGGTGTTAAGAATAAAATAGTAGAACAAGGTATGTCAAAGCTTGAATCAAAAGACAGGATAGTAAGATGTGAACGTTTCGGCTAGAGCCTTCTCCAGTGAACAGGACAAATGAAAATAGGACAAAAAACAGAGCACTATAAAACAAAGGAGATGTCTAAGCCAAAACGTTCCCATCGTATTGTCCTGTCCTTTTATTCCAGATTCTTCTTCTATATCTTAAGGGCCCACGATCAATTTATTGATCATTTTGGCTCCTATGCATGTAGATTCCACATACCTTGTTCAACTATTTCATTCACACAGCTTGAACGCAGTCCTTCATTTATTAGGTGGTGAGAAACAGTTTTTAGAAACAGATCTTTATTAGAACTTATATAACAGCAGAGCTTCACTTCAGACACATTCAAATAACTTATGTAACAGAAGAACTTGACTACAGACATATTCAAATAACTTATGTAACAGAAGGGCTTGACTACAGACATATTCAAATAACTTATGTAACAGAAGGGCTTGACTACAGACATATTCAAATACCTTATGTAACAGAAGAACTTGACTACAGACATATTCAAATAACTTATGTAACAGAAGAACTTGACTACAGACATATTCAAATAACTTATGATTCACTATCATGTATCCTGTTTAACATCACGCTAGAAAAAGTTATTAGAAGCATACACATTAGCACCAGTGGAACCATAACAAACTACTTCCAGAGAGATACTACAGAACAACGACCATCAGGAACCTTTTATAGCCAACCATTGCAGTACCTGGCATATGCAGATGATATAGCACTACTGGGTAGAAACCGTAATGACACAATTAAAGCATTCAGGGAACTTGAAAATGCCTCATTCAAAGCTGGCTTTGATATAAATGAACCGAAGACAAAATATATGATAATGTCAAGAAACTCCCATGCTGATAATAACATCAATATAAACAACCACAAATTTGAGAGAGTGGCTACATTCAAATATCTAGGGGCAACTATAAATGAGCACAATGAGATAATGTTGGAGGTGAAAGAAAGGATAACAGCAGACAACCGTTCCTATTTCAGTCTACAAAAGCTGCTGGGAAACAAAAACCTATCAAGGGGAACAAAGAAGACAATATACACCACCATCATAAGACCTGTAGTAACGTACGCTAGTGAGACCTGGACCCTCACCAGAAAAGCTGAGAACCTGCTCAATACATGGGAGAGGAAAATCCTCCGCAAAATATACGGACCAGTGATAGAAAATGATATCTGGAGAATACGTACAAACCAAGAACTTTACTATTTGTACAAAGAACCACCCATAGTCACAATGATAAAAAAGGCAGAATACGCTGGGCAGGTCATGTTGAAAGAATGCCGGAATGCAGAGCAGCCAAAATTATATACAGGCAGAAGCCTAGGGGCAGACGACTCATCAGTCGCCCAAGGATGAGGTGGATTAATGATGTGGAGACTGATTTACACCAGTTGGGGGTTCGAGCATGGAGACGGAAAGCCATGGATCGCTCCGAATGGAAGGATGTGGTGGAGCAGGCCAGGGCCCTACATGGGCTGTAGTACCATTGATGATGATGATGATGAACAGCAGAGCTTCACTTCAGAAAAATTCAAATACCTTATGTAACAGAAGGGCTTGACTACAGACATATTCAAATACCTTACGTAACAGAAGGGCTTGACTACAGACATATTCAAATACCTTATGTAACAGAAGAACTTGACTACAGACATATTCAAATACCTTATGTAACAGAAGAACTTGACTACAGACATATTCAAATACCTTATGTAACAGAAGAACTTGACTACAGACATATTCAAATACCTTATGTAACAGAAGGGCTTGACTACAGACATATTCAAATACCTTATGTAACAGAAGGGCTTGACTACAGACATATTCAAATACCTTATGTAACAGAAGGGCTTGACTACAGACATATTCAAATACCTTATGTAACAGAAGGGCTTGACTACAGACATATTCAAATACCTTATGTAACAGAAGGGCTTGACTACAGACATATTCAAATACCTTATGTAACAGAAGGGCTTGACTACAGACATATTCAAATACCTTATGTAACAGAAGAACTTGACTACAGACATATTCAAATACCTTATGTAACAGAAGAACTTGACTATAGACATATTCAAAGAAATTTGTCTAAAAAAACTAGCATGACCAAATACACTTATCTCGGGTATAATGAGTTGCTATAGATTTCACCAGGTTTTAGTAATTGTTTTACACCACCTCAAACCATCACATTTGTTACAGAGTAAAGATTTCAATTATAAAACAAAAAGGTTGCCATGATTCTGTTTTCAAGGAGAACAGGGGAACTAATTCTACCGGAAAATCCAGAACAGCGGAGAAGGCATGGCTTTCATGACGGTCAGGACTCGGCCGTGAATCTCTTGAAACTTCTCCTTCCACACCGACTTCTCCTCCTGACCCATGAGCACCCACTCCTCGTGCGTCGGAGGTTTGATATCGAACAACCTCCGGGTCTTCATGCGGACTGGTCTTTGCATGATCATGATAGCAAATATGAGAGAGTCTGCTCCCACAAGGAATCAGATGGGAAAAAATACTTCAATAATTATAGAGACCATAAGGCCACAAGAGTCTTGTTGCAGGATGAGTTAAGAACTGAAAAGTGTTACAAATGGTGGTACTAGCTCCCCCCTCCCTCCGGTAGATGCTTTGGTGAAATGGCTCGGGTAAATTGGCTTTGGCAGATTAGCTGTGGTCAATTGGCTTTGGTAAATTAGCGTTGGTAAATTGACTTTGGTTAATTGGCTTTTGTAAATTAGCTGTGGTAAATAAGCTTTGCTCTAATGTAGTTTTCTCTTGCCAGACAATCAAAAGTACTGTAAAATTTGTTTTGTGGACATGATAATTTGCACAATAAATATCTGAGCTCAGCTTTTTACCAAAGTTTTTAACAAGAAAATGAATAGTGACCAAATGTTGTGATTTTGTTTGTTTGTCTGGGACAGACGGGGGGGGGGGGATTTAAAAAAAAACATGAGCAAAGTTTTTAAAAAATATATATCAGCCATACTGGAGACTGGACCCCCTACATATATTATATAATGACTATGCTGTCAAGACTTGACAATATCAATGACTAAAATTTGCATTTATATAAAGTTAATCAAATTTTATAGCATAGAATTTCTTGAAGAATACATTAGAAATATTTAATATCTGTGATAAATGAAGGCTTTTTTCATAAATTTAATATTTCAGATTTGACTAAAAAGATCTCTGGGATACGCCTGGAGAAATTTGGAAAACTATTAACTGTCAAAATGAGAATGACCATAATAAAAAATCTCTGGATTTAGAAATAACAATAAACGCAATTACCATTAACACCAAGTTTGTAAGAGTTCTCATCCATGGCTTCCTCGTCATTCATAATAATCGCTTTGTAGAGTTGACACAGGGCCCTGCGGTCATCTCCCTTCAAGGAATCATAAAGTCCATGATCCAGGAGCACAAGCTGTGCCTTCCCATCATGCCCTTTTCTGACAAACACTGGACGAAACAAGCGAGGTCAATCAAGTGCAAATTTAATCAAACATGGGAGATAAGTGAGGCCTCATTAAAGGTCCATAATTTATGAAGGGACAAAATAACACAATATCAAAAGACAAGTGCATTTCTTAAAAACAAATTCTTCAAATCAAACACATGAGAATGCCTTACTCAACTGGGAAAACCATATAAAAAACAAAAGTAAATTACCATTGCCAGGATGTGGATCAGCATGGACAAACCCTGACAAAAAAATCTGGTCTGAGAAAGACTTGACAAGCTTGGTGTCTACCTGTAGGGAAATAATGTATTAACATGAGTGACAGAGTTATGTGACAGAGTTATGTGACAGAGGAGTCTTAAATAGAAATCAAACGGTACATTTGGTAGAGTCTAGCAGTGGAGTCTTAGGGTGAAGTCTAACAGTGAAGTCTTATGGTGGAGTCTTATGGTGAAGACTAATGGTGGAGTCTTCTGGTGGAGTCTACAGTAGAGTCTAATAGTGGAGTGTTACAGTGGAGTCTAATGGTGAAGTCTTATGGTGGAATCTAATAAAAGAGTCTTACGGTGGAGTCTAATGGTGAAAACTTACAGTGGAGTCTTAGAGAAAGTCTTACATAGCAAACCATCAATCACTATCCATATTGTCAGTGTTCATTAAAGGCAACCATAATTCTAAAGGGAGAGCACTCACGTCTTGTAGACTGAGCCCCATGCTTTTGATTCCCTCCAAGTTATTGATCTTGACGCCATCAATGTACTCTGCTGTCAGCACACGCTGATGAGACAACACAATAGAAGACTTGAGACTTTTAGCATTATCGTGAGAAAACACAATAGAAGACTTGAGACTTTTAGCATTATCGTGAGAAAACACAATAGAAGACTTGAGACTTTTAGTATTGTCATGGGAAAATACAACATTCACATTTCCTTTTGAAAAGAAAAAAACTTTTAGTTTTATCATGAGACAACACAACAGAAGACATGAGACTTCTTCATGAGACAACACAATAAAAGACTTGAGACTTTTAGTTTTATCATGAGACAACACAACAGAAGACATGAGACTTTTATCATGAGACAACACAATAAAAGACTTGAGACTTTTAGTTTTATCATGAGACAATACAACAGAAGACATGAGACTTTTATCATGAGACAACACAATAAAAGACTTGAGACTTTTAGTTTTATCATGAGACAACACAACAGAAGACATGAGACTTTTATCATGAGACAACACAATAAAAGACTTGAGACTTTTAGTTTTATCATGAGATAATACAACAGAAGACATGAGACTTTTATCATGAGACAACACAATAAAAGACTTGAGACTTTTAGTTTTATCATGAGATAATACAACAGAAGACATGAGACTTTTATCATGAGACAACACAATAAAAGACTTGAGACTTTTAGTTTTATCATGAGACAATACAACAGAAGACATGAGACTTTTATCATGAGACAACACAATAAAAGACTTGAGACTTTTAGTTTTATCATGAGACAACACAACAGAAGACATGAGACTTTTATCATGAGACAACACAATAAAAGACTTGAGACTTTTAGTTTTATCATGAGATAATACAACAGAAGACATGAGACTTTTATCATGAGACAACACAATAAAAGACTTGAGACTTTTAGTTTTATCATGAGACAATACAACAGAAGACATGAGACTTTTATCATGAGACAACACAATAAAAGACTTGGGACTTATAGTTTTATTAGAAGGAACTAGTGTCAGCAACAGCTTTTCTGTAATAGAAAATGGTTTTATTATAGAACCACAGTGACATCGATGGCTTGTTTGTTATGAAAAGTATAGAAAATAAGTTGAAAAGACTTCAATCACTTCGGGTTGGGTGCGTTTGGAAAAGTAATATCTTTAAACACTATTTGTGAACCATTGTCACATCTATGTATCTTTTTGAAAAGAAAAAAAGAACCATGGATGTGTCTCTTTACTGATGACCAAAGATTTTGAAGCTGGCCAATGGTGTTGAAGCTGGCCAACGTTTATGCTTTTAGTTGATATCCAACCTTTGTTGTCATTGCCCAGTAGACTTTGGGTACGTAAATAAACTTTAAATGCCCCAGATCTCTCTGACACCGTTCAGCATTCCTGCCCTCATTCTCAAAGTCGAGCTCCTGTCGAAGTGTTTCTTTTAAATCCTGGAATGTAGGAGTTAACAATAAAGTCATGGGGAGCAGAAGCACAACTCTAATTTAAATATCAACGACAAGGTTTGATCCATAATAAGATTAGTCCTACTAGAAGCAAAACTATAATTTAAATAGCAACTCATGGATTTTATCCATAGTCAGATTAGTCCTAGTTTTTATTTGGTACAGAAGTTGTGCAATGAGTTAAAGCCAAAACTTAACAATCAGCAATGTAACAAAAATTAATAATTTTGACCCCTTACATTTTCAGAAAAACACATTCCCTTTAATCTTAACAAAACATTTCTTTATATATTTTTCCCTTTTTTGTTTTTTCTTGCAAGCCGACTAATACCTTCTGAGCTGAAATTTCTAAGTAATTCATCTCTTTCCCTGTATTTTGTATCTTATTGTTATTGTAATAATGATAATTATAAGTTTAACAATAAGATGTAATGTTTTAGTTTAACTACAGTCATGTTGGAGGGTTACATGTCGTCTACAAAATTACATTAATTTTTTTAAAACTTATACCATTTTCTAATCTGTCATAAAATACATACAATCTAAAATTATTAATATACATTATATTAACCAAAACCCCAGAAGAAAACGGTTTAAATGCAGACCCCAGGCTTAGATGGATGGATGATGTGGAAAAAGACCTACAGCAGCTGGGAATCCAAGCATGGAAAAGAAAAGCAATTGTTAGGACTGAGTGGAACAAAGTGGTGAGGCAGGCCAAAGCCCCATATGGGCTGTAGCGTCACAGGTTCGGATGGTCTACGTGGAAGGAAGTAGTTAGGGAGGCCAAAGCCCCCCCCCCCCATGGGCTGCAACGCCACAGGTATTATTAAGTAATACATTTTAATGCAATTTTGACTCAATAAAAAGTGTTCCTCCTCGTTAAAATGTGTCAACATTGAAAACTGAGCATTGCTTTTAAACAGAACCAGATACTAAGTAATGTTTCCCGTGTGTTTACCTTTATGACCCAGGCAAATCCAAACTTGGGGTGAACCCAAGCGACCAGGTTGAGAAGGATTTCACATGTCGTCATGTCCCCGGCAAACCTGTCCCTGAGGTCAATGTACTGGACCTGGGTAGAGGAGATCTCACATTATCAGGTACAGCATCAATTTAAATAATGATACATATGGAATCAAATTTATTTTCAGAATATAAAATTGCCCACTGCTCATAAAATTTCATAAGCGAACGGACAATGAGAGAATTATAAATAGTTGAGCACAGAGAAAGAGTTCAATCAAAGGAAGAGAAGATTTCAGCTTTCTTAAAACGATATTCATATTGATGATGTTTAAACTTGACAAAGAATATTTTTTTTTAAAAAGAAGCTTTTCTATTTGACACTTGATGCTAAACATGTAATGAACAAATCCTTGCCAAGCTCCTGTAGAGATATGTAATAGCTTATTGGCTGTACAATACATATGTAATAACTTATTGGCTGTACAATACATATGTAATAACTTATTAGCTGTACACAATACATATGTAATAACTTATTGGCTTATCAGTCCAATTAATAAGCAGATAATCTGTCAACATTCTAAGAGACCATTTTGCCAAGCTGTGCAGCCCATAATAGTTTGAAAAGAAATGTTTTAATGACATCATGATCTCATCCCACCTTCACAAAAATTGTGTGGCAAGGAATGTTTCAATGACATCATGGTCTCATCCTACCTTCACAACAATTGTGTAGTAAGAAATATTTCAATGATGTCATGGTCTCATCCTACCTTCACAGCAACTTTGTCCCCGTTATGGGTTGTGGCACGGTGCACCTGGGCCAGACTTGCAGCCGCTATTGGTTCTTCTTCAAACTCTGCAAAAATTTCTGTTGGTTTCCTTCCAAAGTCTTCCATAAATAATTGTTCAACCTGTATAGACAACAGGAAATATGTAAGTTTCATTGATAAGTTTTTGGCATTAGCTGTTGACATTGTATGTTGTCATTAGGTGGATCTATTTATGTGTACAGTAATAAATCATAGAAATTGGTTGATTAATTTAATTACCAAAACAACAGGGCAGAAATTCTAAGAAAACACCAAAAGTTCATTAAGAAAGCAGATAGAGTCAAATATGATGTCAAGACAGATAATGGACTATAATGTGAAATGATTGTGTAGTTTAAGTAAAGACATGATAACATTTTTGTGTAGTTTAAGTAAAGACATGATAACATTATTGTGTAGTTTAAGTAAAGACATGATAACATTATTGTGTAGTTTAAATAAAGACATGATAACATTATTGTGTAGTTTAAGTAAAGACATGATAACATTATTGTGTAGTTTAAGTGGAGAAAATGTTTACATTGTTGTGTAGTTTAAGTGAAGACATAGTGATTTACATTTTTGTGTAGTTTAAGTGAAGATATAATGATTACATTTTTGTGTAGTAAGTGAAGACATAATGAATTGTTGTGTATTTTAAGTTGAGACAAAATGATTATATTGGTGTGTAGTTTAAATGAAGAAAAAAATGATTATTGAATATTGCAACCCGGCCCATCCACTGCTCCAAAAATAAAATGTCTGCTATTTATTGTTTTATTTACTTTTAAGCTTTTCAAAACTATTAAAGCAATATCTGATATGGTCCACATCAGTTGTGTTATAAATGTCAACTTACCTCATGTGGCTGTCTGGTCAAGACTTATGTCAACTCACCTCATGTGGCTGTCTGGTCAAGGCTTATGTCAACTCACCTCATGTGGCTGTCCGGCCAAGTCTTATTTCAACTCACCTCATGTGGCTGTCTGGTCAAGGCTATTGTCAACTCACCTCATGTGGCTGTCCGGTCAAGGCTTTTGTCAACTCACCTCATGTGGCTGTCCGGTCAAGGCTTATGTCAACTCACCTCATGTGGCTGTCCGGTCAAGGCTTATGTCAACTCACCTCATGTGGCTGTCTGGTCAAGGCTTTGTCCTGCAGCACAACTAGAGTACTGAGATATTCCTTGGGTAAGATGTGGTTAAATGAAACCAGACCTGCAGAAAGAATTCAAGACTTGGAGTAAAAAAAAATCCTACATAAATATTATCAAATTCTATTATAATCGATTCATTTACGCGGAAGCTCAGCAATGGAGAAAAGTATTCAAACTATTTAAAACATTTTCAAATCAAAACTGTCTGAATGTTTGCAGCATTAAAGAATGAAGCTCATGGTTAATGCCAGGTACAGCTAGGTACAGACTTCTGTCAACATTTAGTTTATGTACAGCTGAGACAGACTTCTGTCAACATTTAGTTTATGTACAGCTGAGACAGACTTCTGTCAACATTTAGCTTATGTACAGGTGAGACAGACTTCTGTCAACATTTAGTTTATGTACAGCTGAGACAGACTTCTGTCAACATTTAGCTTAGGTACAGCTGAGACAGACTTCTGTTAACATTTAGTTTATGTATAGCTGAGACAGACTTCTGTCAACATTTAGCTTAGGTACAGCTGAGACAGACTTCTGTCAACATTTAGTTTATGTATAGCTGAGACAGACTTCTGTCAACATTTAGCTTAGGTCAGGTACAGCTGAGATAGACTTCTGTTGACATTTAGTAATTTTATGCATGTCATGAAATAAAAATATTTATCATCAATCCTTTACCACTTCAGTGCAGCATAGACCTGTAGCACCTCATTGTGGCATGGAATGGTAGCACCTCAGTGCAGCATAGACCTGTAGAATCCCAGTGTGGCATAGGTCTGTAGCAACCCAGTGTGGCATAGGCCTTTAGCACCTCAGTGTCGAATAGGCCTGTAGCACTCCAGTGAGGCATATGCCTGTAGCACCCCAGTGTGGAATAGGCCTGTAGTACCCCAGTGTGGCATAGCCATTCATTAACAAGGCAAAAAGGAGATATATTTTTTATTGTCTATGCCTCACTCTGGTGCTAGAGGGCATGATACATTCATTCCAATTAATTTATTTAATTACAGATTTTATATTATATTTATATATATATATATATATATTTATAGCATACACTGGGATGGACAAATTCTATCTATAGTAATTCCCCCAGAAAATCAATGGGCACCTAATAAGTCACCAGAACGCAGGTATTTACCTTGACCCAATTTAATGTAGAGACCTCCATTTTTTAAGCATCCTACAAGAAGTCTGTCTGCTGCTCTCTGATGACACGTTTTTATCAACTGGTTGTACTCTTCAGACTCCTCATCAACATTATACAGAGTCCACTTGTAGTCTAGGGATATTACAGTGCCTATGAGAAGAGATCTGAAACAAAAATGTGTTGCCTAGAATCAGTCTGTGTTGAAACTATAAGTTTTGAGACATTCGTGAAATATTTCAAGCTTATATTTCTGGTGTTTACTAGTAGTCAAATTTTAGTGTCGTTTTACTGAATCAAATGAGAATGATATCACTTGAAATGAAAATGAATTTGATAAGGCAGTGAATGTACCAAGCTAATGATTGGACGCTAAATGTGTATTATGATACATTTGGGTAATAAGGGGAGGGAAGGCAACCAGGTTAGCAAAATAGGAAATGAGTAAATTTCCTACAAAATAGGAAATGAGTAAATTCCTATTACGATAAAGTACCATGTTATTTTTCCATTTATTTTAAATGATGTTTTCTGATATTTAATGGATGGATGCCTGAAGCTTAAATATAAAATTTCATCCAATAAATAGTGGGTTACATAGTTGTTTTTTAAATGAGTCTACAAAAGGAGCTTATCATTTTATATTTAAAACATGATTCAGTTATAAGATCAAGTTCTAACTACATTGTGTGAGTAAAAATTGACTGAGCATAAAATAAATCTGATGAAAAATCTTGACACCAAACCATAATCTGATATTTTTTGTACCAAGATAACATAATTTTAAAAATAAATTTATTAACATTAAATGTAAAGCATTTCAATCTTTGAATGAACACAACAAGAAACAAGTGTAAAGATAAAGAGATTTAAGCAATCTGAAATTCTCCAACTGAATCAATCTTTTTTGTAAAATTTTACAAATTTATTTTGAGCTCACCTGATGCCTCTTAGCCAAAGGAATATAAAAAAACTATCATCGTACCGTAAAAATCGCTGTATACCACCAGCAAAAACTATCAGTTTTCTCCTGTCTTGTGATTCAAAAGTATAATACGATATTGTCCCTGTGACAGTGATAGCTGCTGATAACAAAATGAGTATTTTCAACTTGCTTCTTTTAGTGGCATTCTGAGCCTTGACAGATAGTTGCCTTGCTATCACTAGCGAAAGAGCTTCTTTTAAACTTGAGCCATTTGCATTACTTTTATAATGGAATAAAGAAGTTCTACATGATACCATGTTTTTTGGACTGGCTCTTGATGACAGAAGCTTCATAGATCTTTTCAGGAGACAATGGTTTCTTTCTATTCGCAGTGTCCTTAAACACATGTTGCAGCCTGAAGAGATGACTTTGAGATGGCCGTACAGTGACATTGTTAAACTTGATCAAATGTTATTTTTGAAGAATTCTTCATTGAACTCAATGAAAAATCAGATATCAAAAACTGGGCCAAAAAAATTGTGAAATCTTGCTAGTGCCACTGATAGTGAATAATCTGTAAAGAGAGAGATATTTATGAAATCTATCATTGGGACTTTTAAGTATAATGAGCTGCAGCAGTTCAAAATCAAAAGTTAAAGTAAGTCATTAATTAATGCCATTAGGCGTAAACTGTAAATATTTGTATTAATAACTTCTAATTTACTTTTTATTAAATCATTTATGGGGTTTATGAAAATTATTGTAATATATAGATTCTCAACCTGTTGTAGGTGATACACTTACACAATCACTCACAATGCAGATGAATTTTTAAATGTGCACAGAGTAGAATATTGAATTTAGCAAGCTTTATTTCAGTGCTATGACTATGATATTTGAAGGGGCGGAAAAAGAAAATTGGCCTTCTCCTGGTCGCATTAACAGTAGCTTTGCATTGGCCCCTGATCCTTGGTAGTCAAGTAATATTAAGTAATAATTGGTATAATTTTTTTCTATAATCTAAATGCTAGCGCCCCCCCCCCCCAACAAGTGGCAATCCATGAATGACATCATGCGTATGGGGGGGGGGGGGGGGGGGGGGGACACATTTTTCCCTGATGCTTGGTAATAAAGTAATATTAAGTAATAATTGGTATAATTTTTTTCTATAATCTAAATGCTAGCGCCCCCCCCCCCCAACAAGTGGCAATCCATGAATGACATCATGCGTATGGGGGGGGGGGGAGAGGGAGGGTCACATTTTTGTGATGATGTGTGACGAGGAAGAGGGGGGTTTAAGCAATGTGACGTCACATGAAAAGCGGAATATTATAGTACAAAAATTTACTTAAGAACACTAAATTACAGACATTTTTAACATAATTCTTTGATATAAAAATTATATTTATTTTATTTTTAAACTACAATCACTGAGAGAATTAGTACAGGTCCGAGAAATGGGATCTGATCAAGTCACAGGAAGCCATGGAGGAGGAGAATCAGGGTGTAGTTACATGGTCAGTCGTGAGAATTTAAGTCAAAATGTGGAAACAGGTGTCAGAGTTAGCCTTTTTACAACACTGCAGTCCGACTCAGTTTTAAACATTTCGGCACCAACCCACCCCAAACGGTATAAATTATATTGTAATCAAATTAAAAACATGAAAAATATTTAAAACTTTATTTATAGCTTTATTTCTTTAATTAACTTCCTATTAACAGGGAAAAAAATAAAAAATACAAGTAATGCGCAAAAAGAATTTCACCAGAAAATCATTTACTGCTGCAAATTGAAATGAATAAAAACTTATTTTTTTTAAGGCAACAACAACTAGCAATTGTAGTAAATACAATTTTCTGGGTCTTCCTCACCTCGGGGTGCTTTCACCTCTAGTTAAGTGCCACGGTTCTAAGAAAATGTTTCTTACACAGGTGCAGTAATTTGATATCAATAGCAGGGCAATTTTTAAGGGTTTGCAAAGGACAATAGTGGACGGAAGGATATTTTTCAAGGGAGGGAGTGCAGAGATTTTTGATGTCATATTTGAGGGAAGGACTTTTTGTGATGATGGGGGAGGGGGGTGTTAAAATCGGCAAAATTTGCGTGACATCATTTATGGACTATACATTATTATTATTCATAAAACTATTTACGATCTTAGGTTTATCATTATAATACTTAGGCTAAAGTAGGATTAGGAGTAGTAGCAGGGGCGTCATTTCGGGTGGGGGAGGGGGGGGGACTAAAACAAAAACTTGGTTGGCTTGTAAAAAGTTGTTGACTACTGTACATAGCAATTTAAATAAAACTCTATACATTATTATTATTCATAAAACTATTTACGATCTTAGGTTTATCATTATAATACTTAGGCTAAAGTAGGATTAGGAGTAGTAGCAGGGGCGTCATTTCGGGTGGGGGAGGGGGGGGGGACTAAAACAAAAACTTGGTTGGCTTGTAAAAAGTTGTTTACTACTGTACATAGCAATTTAAATAAAACCTGAAAATTCAGGAGGGGAGGCAAATGCCTGAGTAGTAGTCAGTAGTGCTAGTAAGCCTATGTAACATGTACAAATAAAAAAATAAGGCTAACAACTGACAAAAAGCTAAAAGTAAATTACATTTAAATGCTTGCCGTGCCTTATATTATGACTATATTATTATAGTATAGTCAGTAGTTATAATTATAAGTAGGCCTATAAGTAATAATAAGTAGCCTATACTATAAGTTATAAGTCAAGTTATTGCCTATATTATAGACTATGACTCTTAGACTATAGCCCTAAAATGTAAAAGTTTCATTTACAAAACAGCCAAAAAAGTAGTTAAGTCTTATGTCATAACGAAAAGTAATTAACTGGGTTGTCCTTTGAATCTGTGTGTCCTTTAAAAAGTTACGTAATGTATGTGACTACTACTCTACTTATTAAAATTAAACAAGACCATCCAGTATCGCAGTCACACTACACATTGTTAACTCAATAAATTAAAAAAGTAAAACATTTTACAAACAGTTGTATAAGCAGATATTATAATTAGGCCACGTCATGGAGTAACATATAATTGTCTCAATTTCTATAAAAAAAAAACTATTTAGTATTTACATAACAGAATCACGGTACTTCTGGTACCTGGGTGCGAAGAGTCGCAGCCCTTCGTTAATTTTACCATCTGCTATAGTTTGAGCTTTTTCATGATTCAAGACGAAAAAGAGCGTATATGTATTATTTTTGTTTTTCGCTATGAAGAGTCGACAAGACTTGGTAGTCTTATTGGAACATAAATAACTTTTTTTTAAAACACCTTCTCTATTTAAAACAGGGGGAGAGGGGTGGCCAACCTTTTCTGCAGGCGAGCCAAATTTCAGAAATAATATTTCCTGCCGGGCCACGCACCTAATTTTTTGTGTTAATTAAAGTAGACAAGCAAGCGTGCTACAGCTTCGACCACATCGTCGCTTCCCATTAGGTGTGATCGTGGTCAAACGCTTGACTTGACTGGTTTACTGGAAAAACAACAAAAACAAGAAATAGGTATTTTTATTTTTTTTTAAAGAAAATAAAACATAACCGAGAATCAAAAATAATTTTTTAGACTCGTCCGTCCGCTACTAGAATATGGTGCGATAATCTGGCACCCATACTCATACCTAAAGCAAAACGTGGGCAAAATGGAGCGAATACAACGCAACGCAGTGCGCTTCATCGCAAGTGACTACAAATCCACCATTCCTGGCTTCGTCACTGACCTCTTAAAAAGATTTGACACCCCCTCCCTCAAAGACAGACGAGAAAAGCTCCGCCTAACATTCTTACATAAAGTAGTCACGGGGCTAGTGCCGGCCATTCCAGCTAACCCGTATCTCACCCTGCAGAAGCCGGGTCGATTAATCAGAGCCAAACACTTAATAAACACTGACTTCACCTCTGACAACACCATGAGCAGTTACATCCGGAACAATTATAAATGTTTCACTGTGCCTCGGTGTAACACAGTTCAATATCATCAGTCATTCTTCCCACGAACAATAATTGCTTGGAACTAACTGGAAAATGCCGCCGTGGACTCGAAATGAATCGAGAGTTTCAAGGCTGCCCTGGCACCCGCTAGGAGCGGTTAGGATGGCTGCATCGTTTCCCGTTGCACATATGCCAATTCTTGGTTGCAGCAACGTCAGAGGCATAGCGAGGGTGTTTGGCGCCCGGGGACAAAATCCATTTTAAAGCGCCCCCTTTTCTTTTTTTCAACTCTCAAACCCATTATTTTTACCCATAATATAATATCAAAGCACATTTTGGCGCCCCTAACTAGCTTGCGCCCGGGGACATATGTCCCCCCTACCCCCCCCCCGCTACGCCTCTGAACAACGTAGTCTATCAGAATCAGACTCAGAATTAGACAACTTTAAAATATTTAAAAGTGAGAAATCTGACTTTGTGACATTGCATCAAAATTNAAAGCGCCCCCTTTTCTTTTTTTCAACTCTCAAACCCATTATTTTTACCCATAATATAATATCAAAGCACATTTTGGCGCCCCTAACTAGCTTGCGCCCGGGGACATATGTCCCCCCTACCCCCCCCCCCCGCTACGCCTCTGAGCAACGTAGTCTATCAGAATCAGACTCAGAATTAGACAACTTTAAAATATTTAAAAGTGAGAAATCTGACTTTGTGACATTGCATCAAAATTGATCTCGACTGATGTTGTCGCTACACGCAAATAGTTTTCCAAATGAACATGAGTCATTCGTGTTCTCCCTCGTGATTTGATGTACTTCCTACGACTAAAAAGCTGCCCACACATATAAGTGTTTCCCAATAGCGAAACCATCAACAGAACATGTTTGAAAAAACGCAGGATATTTATTCTTGTCCAAATACGTTTTATAGCACTCTTCTAAAAAACTTGATGGAATTACTCCTTTAACTGTGTATCGCAACACATTTATCAATGTTCTATTTTTAATCTTCCTGTTAATAAATTCACGTCTACCGCGAATGGCATTGCAAATGCACAAAAAAGAACATTATGTGTTGTTGTTGTTGTTTTTTTTTTTAAAATCCTGAAATCGGTTTTCAAATTTGAGGTTTAAGTCAGATATCGAAGAAGCTATCCACCGCCCCCTTGTGTGACATATGGTTGCAATGACAATGTAGGAAAGTGAGTAAAGGTTTTTGTCCTCAACTGATGGTCCCAAAGACCACGTTTAATTTGAAATGCAGAAATATGACGTCATGCATCTTACTAATTAATTGATCTTTCCCTTGTAGACGAGTATTAACGTCATTTAGGTGGCTAGTTAAATATACCAGAAATACAAAAATTACAAACCCACTCTTTGTCTTCAAACTCTGGAATACTTAATGACTTGCTTGCAAAGAATGGTTGTATTTTTTGCTGAAAATCAAACACTCTTTTCATCATTTTGGCACGGGTCAGTCATCTTACTTCTGAATAAAATTTAACGCCATTATAATCTGAGTCCAAAGACTTTAGAAATTCTTGGAACTGACGGTGATTAGACACGTTCGACATAATGAAGATGACTATTTATTTGAAGACCACTCCAAAGACTTTAGAAAATCTTGGAACTGACGGTGATTAGACACGTTCGACATAATGAAGATGACTATTTATTTGAAGACCACTCCAAAGACTTTAGAAATTCTTGGAACTGACGGTGATTAGACACGTTCGACATAATGAAGATGACTATTTATTTGAAGACCACTCCAAAGACTTTAGAAATTCTTGGAACTGACGGTGATTAGACACGTTCGACTTAATGAAGATGACTATTTATTTGAAGACCACTCCAAAGACTTTAGAAATTCTTGGAACTGACGGTGATTAGACACGTTCGACTTAATGAAGATGACTATTTATTTGAAGACCACTCCAAAGACTTTAGAAATTCTTGGAACTGACGGTGATTAGACACGTTCGACATAATGAAGATGACTATTTATTTGAAGACCACTCCAAAGACTTTAGAAATTCTTGGAACTGACGGTGATTAGACACGTTCGACATAATGAAGATGACTATTTATTTGAAGACCACTCCAAAGACTTTAGAAATTCTTGGAACTGACGGTGATTAGACACGTTCGACTTAATGAAGATGACTATTTATTTGAAGACCACTTTCATGACATGCTCCATTGCGAGGGACTATGAACGTACATTCTCCTGATGAATGACGCAATGAAAATTTAGCATTGAAGTATTACCGACTTTGGAGGCTTCATTTTCAATCAATTTTACAAAACCTTCGTTGTTAAGTCAGATAACGTTTTATGTTGTAACGAAAAGCGGTTCAATGTCGATGTAACTGCCTCTAACAAAGCTCGCGACTTTGTAGTTTCCTTAAATGGATACAGTGCCCACTATATCTTCTGTCGTTTTCAAATGGGCATCAACGCCCCTAATAACAATGGCCAGGTGGGCAGTCTCTGCCACATCTGTGCTTTCATCCGATGCCAGAGCATAAAATATCAACTCGGATGCGCGACTTTTAAAATGATTCCCCCCCCCCCCATTTTTTCCAATGTCGTTCCACACGCCTATTCTGACAAGACAGATTTATTTTTTGAGCAATCCTTCATTTCAAGACACAGAATTTCAATGACGCTCTCCAAACACATATGTTTATAAGGCTATGACACTATGTTATTTTAACATTACATATGAACTTATTTTTAAGTAAGTGAAGTATATTGTGAACAATTTGTCAATTTTTTTATTTTTTTTTAAATATAAAAATCCAGAGATCCAGAACTGTTCATCTCAATTGAATTTTATTTTTAACATTGAAAAAAAATTAGATGACAAAAACTTAGGAAACATTCTCCCCACTTCTTTTTAAAGAAGTTAAATTGCCTTATGACATTTCAATTTTCATTAATAATATAGGCAACTTGAGGCCCCGTTAAGCCTGACGCCCCCTAGTAGCGTGAGGTCCCCTAGAAACCTGAGGCCCCAAAGAAGGGTGAGCCCCCCCTGCCCCTCCCCCCCCACAAGAAGCATAATGCTTTGAGCAACTTTCTACCATGCCCGTGCCGTAAGACGGACCTGGTTCATGTTAATGAAACGAAGAGCATGCTTCTCACCAGAAACTCTCACTTAGTTGCGTATTTGTTACGACACATACATGCAACTGTAAGCACGTTTTGGCTCTTAATGTGTACACTATCTGGCTCTTAATGTGTGCACTATCTGGCTCTTAATGTATGCACTTTCTGGCTCTTAATGTGTACACTATCTGGCTCTTAATGTGTACACTACCTGGCTCTTAATCTGTGCACTACTTGGCTCTTAATGTGAGCACTTTCTTGCTCTTAATGTGTGCACTTTCTTGCTCTTAATGTGTGCACTTTCTGGGTCTTAATGTGTGGCACCCAGGGCGGGTTGAGCTTTTTCTTACCCGCCCCCATCCACGAAAAAACTCTCCAGGTGGCCAAAAATGCTGCCCTCCCTCTAATATAAGGAAAAATATGCCCCCGGGGGGTTACTGCACGCCCTTCAGCCACATCTTGCTGCGTGTCTATCTCATGGACGAGCTTTTATTTGAACCCATTAGTTGATGATAATAATAAGATGCTGAGTCATCCACCTCGCGAGTTCAGAGCTTTTATTTGAACCCATTAGTTGATGATAATAATAAGATGCTGAGTCATCCACCTCGCGAGTTCAGAGCTTTTATTTGAACCCATTAGTTGATGATAATAATAAGATGCTGAATCATCCACCTCGCGAGTTCAGAGCTTTTATTTGAACCCATTAGTTGATGATAATAATAAGATGCTGAATCATCCACCTCGCGAGTTCAGATTCAACGATAGTTCCTTGTTATTTTAGGATTTTTGTAGAAGGAAAAAAAAAGAAGAAGAAAAAAACAAAAAACCCACCTAACTAATTAGAGAAATTTTTGGCGACCCGGTAGTTTAGATTTCTTGGTGCGGTACAAGCCCCAACCTGATAATTGGAAAACACTGCACTAAAAAACAAAAATGAATTTAAATGTATTTTTTTTAAGAGTTGGAAAAAAAAAAGAGACTCTCTGGCATTGTTTAAATGCGGCCATTTTATGCCTGCGTTTAGCTATTAAGGAACTGACGATTAACATTTTACTAAAAATAATCAGCATCACTGGCACTCTTCTATTGATTACC